ATTATATTATATTATATTATATTATATTATATTATATTATATTATATTATATTATATTATATTATATTATATTATATTATATGAAGTCTCCCGCGCGGGCAGGGCTGTGAGGGCTGCGCGCCGCGCGTGGGGCAGCAGGCGGGAGGGGGGCGCAAATTTAGGCAGGCGGTGCGAGCAGGGGAGCTCGCAGGGAGCGCAGACCGGCGCCAACACCACGCGTGTGTTTAGCGCCGCCGTCGCGCGTGTTTTTAGCGCTGATTCCTCCTCGCGTGGCTGGGGGTGGCGGCTGCTGCTGCTCCGCTCTCAACAGGAGCCCGTGGTCGCCGGGGGCTTCCCGCGAGTCTCGGCGAGGGGAATCGCTCGGAGGGAGCCGGGGCATTGCGGTAGCGCCGGACATTTCCAAAGGGTTGGATTTCATATTTATAAGAGGAATTTACATTTGTGCGTTGGACTCGAGGTGTGACGTAAGGTGCCCCCCTCCCCCCCACACACCCCTTGCTTATTTTGGTCGACATGGGGCAAATCGGTAAATAGAAAAAGAAAGGAAAAAAACTTTAATTCCTCGCTTTAATAAGCACTGACTTAAGAGCAAGATTTGGTTGAGCAGATAACCGAGTTTTCCCTCTCCCCCCTCTCTCCTTCCCTCTCTGCCTCTCCCTCTCTCTCCGCTCCGTGATTAATTCAGAGACTGTAATCATGGACATTGTACATCAAACCTTCCTGCTCCTGCTACAGACTCCTGCAGATTTTTATTGGTTTACATGAAAGCGGGTAAACATATTTCAGAGGATGCCCTTTCAATCTGGCTCCATTTCCACAGCACATAATTCCAAGGACAATTTGTTTTAATAATAAGAATGGATGCAGTGTTAATGGTTTTCAATTTGTGTTAAAAAAAATCATTAAATATTTATAAGTATCGATCGAGGGTTTCAGGATTTTACAGACGTCTTAACACATTTCATAGATGTGTGTGTGTGTGTGTTTTTTAATTTAGAAACCTACGTCGTATTCTCTTTTATGCTGTTTATTGATTTAAGCAACATCCCGTGTCTCAAATGAGGGACTAATAGATTTTCATTAAAATAGGCTCTCTTAATCCTGATTGTGAATGGATATGATTGATCCATCCAGCACACTACACATCTATAATATTAATAAAGGACATTATCATGGCAGGACTTGCTTTTCCATCATCAGGATTTTTTTTCCTCCGTGCAACCTTTAAGATTTATTTGGGGACCGTAAAAGGGCCCACAGGAGGGAAATGCATTGGGAAGAATACATTTTTATATTAGTTCTTTTCTTCCTTTATTTTTTTTTTTTTAATCTACCATCCACTCTGGCCACATATGGTGAAAATTAAACTGTTTCCCCGCAAATCTAATCTTAAAACGTTTACGTTGCGTTTTATTTTTAGAAAAACATTTTAAAGCGGGAGAGAGGAAAACAGCTCGGGATGAAAAGGCAAATAAGGAGCATCTGAGAGGCTCTAGTTTACAGCAACCCCAGGCTACTTCCCAGGCGCGGAGTCCTGCGTGGGCATCACCCCTGATGGACGCGATACGAAGCGCCCCGGACAGAAGCAATCCCGGTAATT